AAGGCTTCCAGGCCAATAAAGCTCAACTTTTCCTTCCAGGGGACACACATCTGGGTACTCAAAAGTCCTGTCAATGCAAGTGCAAGGAAAAGCTTGGCTATTTTCCAGGATTCAGGCTGGCTGTGGATGTCCTGCAGGATTCGAGGCATCCCCATCCCAGTGGGGCTGGATGCTGCTCAGGAGGAGCTCCTGGGCACTGCTCAGACCTGCTCAGATTCTGGTCAGTATGAGAGTGCTCAGACTTTTGCACACAAGGCACTGACAATTATGCATGAAAGAGCATGAGAAGGGCCACAGGTGGGAAAAACAGCAGCTGGTGCCTCTCTGGCTTGTAACCTCTGCCAGAAATTATTATCTTTAAGTTATCTTTTCATCTCTAAAGAAAACTTCAGAAAACAAATAAGCAGAAAAACAAACACACCCCAAATGTATTATGTCACTGCAGGTAAATTACTGATGCACAGTAATCAAATATTCCACTAGCAACACTATGGAGAGCAAACAGTTTTCTAATGCTGCCTGGATTACAAATTGTCCTAAGTCGATATGGAAAGAAGGTTGGGTTTTTTTGTTTTCAGTCAGCAATGTGTACACCTCAGACTGAGTAATCCTTCCTTTCCAGCTAATCCTGTCTTGCTAGCTGGTCCTCTTACAGGACCACTGAGTAGGGCAACACATGGCAACTTGTATGAAATCCTCTCTTCCATGTTTGCTTTCTTCAGTCCCAGCTCCCACCTGCTGCTCACTACCATGGCATGGATGTGGTTCAGATGATTCCCTCTTACCTAACCAACAACACAAAAAGCAAAGCTCCTTTAATGTCCAGGACTCTCCACATCTGAAGGGGAGTAAGGGCTGGAATTGCCTTCAGTCCATGCCATCTTTTGCACTATTTATTATGCAACCACAAGGGGCAAGGCTCATTTGAGGCACATGCCTTGCCCCATGTCTTCCCTCCCAAGTGCCACAAATGCCTTAAAATTCCCAAGGCTGATCATCTCAGTGCTCATAGGACCCATGATACTGTTGAGCTGACAAGTCTTTTCTGCCACACAAATGGGTAAAGAGCAGCTCTGGTAGGCCTAGCACAGCCATGCCAGTCCAGCTCCTGTGAAAGGAAAGGGTTAAGTGACCACTAACTGCAATATCAGCTTCTGGAAGGGACTCTGCCTTGATTAAAGCCAAACAGTAACCTCTGAAGTATAATGAGAGAGGAGAAAAAAAACAAACCACATCCCAAAAATGCATAATCCTCCTCTTCAATGAATCCATGGGATTGATGGTGGGGGCTGTGCTGCAAGCATGGAAAATCCAATTTTATGCTGATTTCAGCTCCAAAGCTCAGGTGTATGACACCATACCACAGACATGTGACAGAAATAAATAAAAACAAGCTAGTGGAAGAAACTTACCTCGGCTTTGTTCTGTTTCTCTTCATATTCACTCTGCTCCTTTTCCATACCAACCAGCTTAATCTTCAGGTCTGAAACTTCAGCCATTAGATCTAATTTCTGAGTCTCCAGCGATGTGCGACTTAGCAATTCCTGAAAGCAAAGCAGAATATTGTCTCCAGTGAGTTACTTCTTTGAACACTGACAGACTGCTGTGTGATTTATGGGCAGAGCCACACTACAGTCCCTACCCCACAGCTGAACTCTGTGTTTCTCAAGGGCTGCAGTTATTTTCATCTGAACATTCTCCTGTGTTAATCACTAAACCACTGTGTCCCACTCCTTGTTTCAAGAAAACGTGTGGCAGTTAATCCCTGAGCCAGACATGAAATGGAAAACAATAGTAAGGCTGAACAAACACAAACCTACATAATGACACATCACAAAAGAGTTGGCGTCTTCCTAAAATACTCCTCAGACAAAGCTGTGTTTCAGTCTTACACTGCAGAGCTTCTCATCCCGTGCTGTTCAGGAAAGGATGGATTGCAGAACGAGCAGCCTGACCAAAACAGAGTACCAAAGACACTCCTAGTACTGGAAAGCTTACACCATGCAGCATTTGATAACTTTTGAAGGCTCTACACTGGGAACTGCAGTGAATGAAAGTGATATGCCCTAACTGGAGCCTAAAAGGCAATGTCTAAACTGAGTAACAGTGTAAAGGAGAAACAACTGGCCATGACTTTTGCTTGTTTGTTTTTCAGACTGCAGAGAAGACATACTTTGGATGGAGTCACATCACTGTGTTGGGAGAATAGTCAATATTCACACCTTCATTCCATCTTGCAGTTCTCAAGAAAGTTAGGACAAAATCTTCTCAGATTTAACAGTGTATTACATATATAAAATGCTTCTGTTGACCTCCATTTTCATGCAGAAAAAACTCCATGCAGGAGTTTAAGCCTTACTGAAAAATTGATTCCTAACTCTCCAACTGCCTAATCAATGTTTTACAAAAGAAAATAGGTTTCCAAATGGTTACAAAAATTTATAGGAATTCATAACCCAAATTAGCCTTTTGATCATATGAAGCACATTGAGGAATCACAGCAGATTCTGCTTGGAATTACATAGAAGTGACTTAACTGAAGTTGCCATAGTTATCCTGGATCTAAGCTGATGTTACCCAGTGATCAGAAATCACCCTGTCCATCAACTTTTTCTCATCACTTCCTCTTCCACAAACTGCACAGTATGTTGCAGACTATGACTTGGAGCCAAGGAAGCCACAAAGATTATACAGTTATGAGTTACAGTTTATTTTGAACCCCAATCTGCTCTACACATAAATTGTTTGAGTCTGGAAGGGAATATTGACCAAATTAAAAATAGGACTAAACTCGTATCTGTATTGCAACACCAATTATCTAAGCCACCCACTATTCCCAGTGCCA